TAATTGATGGATAGAAGTCACCAGAAGATATTTATTAATATTATGTCTTAAAAAAACAAACAAACTTGCAGTGCAATTATCATAACAGCAAGTTTAGAGACGGCATCTTTCTCAACCCAGACAAGGAAACAATTGTATAAGCAATGTTATCTTCTTCTCCACCTGAAACCAGAATGCGCTGGATAAAATTCAGATGCCTGACATAACAATACACTGAACTTCACTCACCAAGAAAAAGGACAAACATGGTACATAAGTGTGACAGACCTGTCCATATTGATGAATGCAAGCTGACAAATTACCCACGGAAGAGCTAATACAGTAATCTATTTACAAAAGCTGGCTTAAATGTTTAGTTTTCTGAGTTTCTGAGCAAGCCAGACCACCATGAAAGATAAAAGGTTTATTTTTTAAAGAGTGGGTTTTCTTCAAAATCAGGAAAAGAGTCTAAATGTTAATTAGAATCAATATAGTATACAGCAACTTATGTGCTTGAATTTAAAAATTAAAGCTTGGGCCAGGGAGACAGCTCAGTGGTACAAATGCCTGACTGGCATGCGCAAGGTCCCAAGTTCGATTCCCAGGACCATGAAAAATAAAAAATAAAAATTAAAGTTATTCTGCAGTTTGCTGCCCCATTTCTCTCTCAAACACACACACACACACACACACACACACACACACACACACACACACACAGCCATTACTGCACCAAAGCATACAAGTGCTGACATTCAAATCCAAAACAATCATTCAGGGACCATCAATTGTCCATACTAAACATATTCCTTGAAAGATCTTTACTTCCTTGAGCAAATTTCTCAATATAATCTAACAGGGGGCTAATTCTCCCTTTTAAAACTGCTGACAGTAAGTCTCTTCACACAGGTGAGAACTGCCATTGCAGTTCTACTGCTTGGATGGACCAAGCAGTAGATTGGCTCTAATACCTTGTTAGAAAATCCAAGCTAAACTAACTGTTCTCAGAAGAAAAGAGTCCTTTAGGGAAAGTGATCTCATTTCATAAAGCTCAGAACACATACAACGTTTAGAATGCTTTAGTAGACAGAAGTCCAAAATGTTCAGCTCATGGGACCTATCTGGGCCTCTAATCAGAACTTCTGCTGAAACAATTCAGTGCAAACAACAGAGTCACTAAACAACACGTGGCAATTCCAAAGTGTACATACGAAACACATACCTGGAAAAAACACTTAGCCACAGACACAAAAGACAGTAATAATCAGAGTAAGTGAGAAAGGGAAAAGAGGGCCAGCTAATGAAAAAATTAAATTTACAAAGAGAGTGTTATTTCAGAGTAATTCAGACCACTCAGGAAACCAGCCAAATTGCTTCTGCAATTCTAGGAAATTGGACAAAAACAAGGTTGCTTGACTTAGTCAACACAGACCTCATTTTGAAGATAATTAGCTTGACTCACTTCATGTTTCACTATGCTTGTGGGAGTATTCATAGACAGATGGGTGCACTTGGGTGCTGTTTGCAGACTGGGTCTAGAGCCATCCAAGTGAAAGGATATGGGCTAAACCTTCTACTCCCAATATGGCTCAAGGAAGCATGGTCTCTGTTCACTGTTGCTTTTATCTGTAGCAACCTGCCTTTGAATGCTTTTTCACAACAGCTGCCTTGATATTTTAACAATGACAAATTAATACAACCACTGTAGAAATCAATGTAGAGACTCCTCACAAAAGTAGAAGTCTAAAGTGACCCAGCTATTCCCCTTCTTGGAATTTTTCCAGAAGAAATAAAAATATCATCCCACGCTGATACATGTGCGCTCATGTTTATATCAGCACAATTTGTCATAGCTAAATCTTGCAAACAACCCAAATGCCCATCAATTGTGCAATGGATAAAAAAGATACAGTATTTAAGAAATACAGTATTTTTATACAATGGAGTATTACTCAGCTATAAAGAAAGATAAACTCAAGGCTTTTACAGGTAAATGGATGCAACTAGAGACCATACTCATAAGTGAAATAAATCAGACTCTCGTGTGTAAACATCATATTGTTTTCCTACTGTAAGAAACTGAAAGAATAAATAAAATCTTAAAGACACAATAGATATTGTGAAAGGGAAAGAAACTGCTCAAAAGGAAAGACCAATTGGGATGAGGGAAAGGAGAAAAAAAAAGGAAAGGAAAAATACATATATTCACACAGGTAGCTAAAATAATTGTACTGACACTTTCTATTGGTTTATTGAAAGGAACAGTTAATGTTTAATTGTTTGATCAATTTTGCATTCCTGCATCTAATAATCTGAACAACTACTCTGAAGTGAAGAAATGCTCCACATCACTAACCATCCGTGAAATGCAAATTAAAACAACACTGAGACACCATCTCACCCCAGAAAGAATGGTTATCATAAAGAAATCAATCAACAACAAATGTTGGAGAGGCTATGGGGAAAAGGGAACCCTTCTCCACTGCTGGTGGGAATGTAGACTGGTGCAACCCTTATGGAAATCAGTGTGGAGACTCCTTAAGAAACTAGGACTGGAAATCCTATTCAAGTCAGCAATCCCCCCGCTGGGAATTTTCCCAGAGGAACTAAAAATGTCATATCATAGTGATATATGTACACCTATGTTTATAGTAGCACAATTTGTGATAGCCAAATCTTGGAAACAACCAAGATGCCCGTCACATGAGGCATGGTTGAAAAAGATGTGGTATTTTTATACAATGGAGTATTACTCAGCTACAAAGAATGATAAACTTGAAGCATTTATATTTAAGTGGATGCCACTTGAAGATATACTCATAAATGAAATAAACCAGACCCACAGGTATAAATATTGTATAGTCTCCGTATCACAAGAACTTAAAAGAAGAAATACAAATAGAAAGGTATAACACAATTAAAAGGAAAGCAAGAACTTGAGGATTGGACACCAGTAGGTTTTTGAAACTAACAGTTAATTGGTAAGATTCTCACCCTGACTAACTATACATACTGATGCCTGTGAACAAAGCAAATACACTGAAGATAGCAATGTGTAACAGAAGGGTCACGCTTGAAATGCCTGTCATTCTGGTCTTCTAAATACATACTTCTTGTCATGACATACCAATTATTACCATACTGTCTCTCAAGTAAAAGTTTTTTGTTGTTGTTTAAAAAATAGGTAATAAATGAAAAAAAGACACAAGAAAAAAATGTCACAGGACTGTCCTGCTACAATGCTGCATATGGTTAGATTTCTAAATTTCTATGTAAAAATATGTAATTGGTTATTCATGTTTAAAAAACAACATGCAATAAAACAACTATTGTTAGTTTCCTATCATCTTGGTTTGAAATTCTGTATCATTATTAGTTTTTTCTTATTTTTTATTCTCTTTAAAATAAAAAGAGAAATGAAAACAGCTGCCTCTGATGAAATGCTTGCTATTTCCCAGGCAGCAGTCTTTGGTCTTTATTCATCCTAATGATTATTAAATGTTTACCATGGCACAAAACCATTCTAGGTTTTGGGGTATGGTCTGAATAAAACAAAGACCCTGCTGTCATGGAAAATTCTCTCCAGTGCATTAAGAAAGACAGAAATGCATATATAGAATGTATCAGCTGGTGATGGGGGTATGAAGAATAAAGTGAGATAAAGATTCCAAGTGGGGGCTGGTGAGATGGCTCAGTGGTCTAAAGCACCTACTTAGAACAAGCTTAGCAAAGCACAGGGACCACGGTTCAATCCCCCAGCACCACATGCCAGCCAGCCCCGCCCCCTGGTGGGCTGAGCTGGCCACACACACACACACACACACACAAATAAATAAAATTAAAAAAAAAAAAAAAGATTCCAGGTGGCAACAGGGTGAGGTCCAAATGAAGACCACCACGAATGCACTTGCAGTCCTCAGTTGGATAGCCTCATTGCAACAGGAAGCAGACAAGTCACTGGGATCTAGCAATGAGGTAAGAGAGTGTTCACAGGACTTGTTATAGAATTTGGGTGTTTTAGACGATTTGAGGGATACCTGAAGGAAGCAGAAGTTTGCCCTGAATTGATAGTGTCATGAAGTGGGAGCAATTCTATGAGTGGTTATCTTAATTCTAATTTGAGGATAAGAAGACTACAGCAATGATTTAGACAATAATCTTGTCACTACATGTATTTGGATGTTATAAAAGGGCCTTTTTTTTTTCTTGATCCGTAATTTTCACAGAGTGGTACTATCAGACCTGGGTATTCCATGAAATTGTTCAGCAGGAGAATGTTGCTGCCAACGTGCATATACCAGGCTGGCTCCCTGTAAGTAGGGACTGCTTTCTTTCCCATGCTTAATCTGCATTTGACCTCTCAACATTATACTTTTTTCTTATAGATGAAGAATCTAAAACCCAGACAAGTGAAGGACTTATCCTGGAGTGAGTAACAGGATTCAGACCCAGAGCATGCGGCCCAGCACCCATCCTTCACTCCACACAGAATGCTGCAGGGCTGCGCCTTCTGAATTCTTGGGCAAAACATTATCCTTGAAAGGGTCACAAGAATGGGCCTCAGTGAGAAGTCAGAGGGATTTTTTTAAAAAGCCTGGAAAGGAAGGTGCCGCCAGCAGAGCCCCTGTTCCAGGCCAAGGATGTGCAAGTATTAAGAAATAAAGCCCACATGGTCAGCACCTAAACATAGGTATGGGCTAGGGCTGTGGTCCAGTGTTAGGGCTCCCATGTGGCATGCATAAGACCCTGGGGTTGAACTCGAGCAAGAGAGAAATATTTTTCTCCCAGAGATGAGTAAACAGTTTCCATTTCATTTAAATTAGAAGGCTTTTTTCTTAATAACTTGATCAAAATGGTTATGAACTATAGCCAAATCTTTAAAGACTAGAATAAGTATAATAAAATAAATAATGAATGTATAAGTAGTGTCCTAGTATGCAAACTATAAAGCAATTGATATTTATTTTAACCCATACTTTTAAAAAGCACCCTTCTTCGGTAGCAATGAAGATCAGGCTTACCAAGAGATTTTCTGGCTTGAGGTCCCGGTGGACAATGTTCTTGTCATGCATGTGGACAAGAGCCTTACACAAGTCCATGATCAAGAGGGCTGCTTCGGGTTCAGGGAACTTCACACTTTCTATGATGGCATCAAAAAGGTCCCCTCCCTGCACGTACTCCATGATCAAGTAGATTTCCATTTCCATTTCATATACTTCATGCAGTTTCACTATGTTGGGGTGAGAAAGGCTCTGGATAATTAAGATTTCACTGTCAATGATGTCCTCCTTACCCTTGAGTTTGGACTTGTCAATAATCTTCATGGCGTAGACCTGCCTGGTCTCACGGTGCCTGCACTCCTTCACCACGGCGAAATTCCCATCCCCAATGACCCGACCAGTCTCATAATGCTTCTCCACATCCGCTGAGATGATGCCCACAGGCCGCAGCTTCCGGCCGCTGGACCGTTCTGCCTTGTTCTCCTCTGGCCTGGTTTTGGGCTCCTTCTCTACCCTTGTGGGGGGGTCATCTCGGACAGTCACTTTCCTCCCTCCTGACACACCTGACTTCTTCTCCTTCTCTGCCTCCTTTTCTTCCCCTTGGGTTTTAGAGAGCTTCTCTGGCTCAGTCTGGTGCTCTCTCAGGAGACAGGCACCATGCTTGTTCTTGCTAACATGCCTGACATCTTTCTTTACATCCCTGGACCGCTCCTCTGTCGCTGGAGGAGCTTCAGTGAGCTCCTTCTTGATCTTGGCTGCTCCCTGAGGATGGCTTGCTTGATCCTCTGGGATTCGCTCCTCTTTCTTATCTGTGTTCTTACTGGGTCTGCTCAGCTCATGAGTGGGATTCCTGGGACTGCTCTTAGGGTTGTCACCCTTCCATCCTTCTCCCCCACGTGTGGGATTTGCCTCTGGAGACTTTTTGCAGCTTCGCGTCCTCACCAGTTTCTCCACAGCGTACCACTGGCTCTTGCCCATGTCTAGCTCGCTCCTCCCCAAGGAGAGCCTCTCCCGAGGCAGGTTCTGCGGCAGCTCCTGTTCTCGCTTGCACTTCTCACACCGGACCATCTCCCCAGAGGTCCTTTCGACCTCCAAGCCCAGGGGCTTCTCTCCACTCCCATGCCTCTCCTCCAGAGTGGTTCCTCCAGGCAGCTTGCCAGCAGGCTCAGGCTCCCGATTCCCTCTCGCCCACTTCTTCTGGGCCCGCACCTTGTCCTCCAGCACAGGCTCCACAGGGGGCTTTCCCTGACGCCTGACAACTACCTTGCTCTGGGCACACTCACTGCTACTCCCAGTCTCCCCACAGTGGTGGCCCCCTTTCAGAACCTTGCTATAAAGTCTGCTTCTCAGTCTTGGAGAAGAGGCCCGGCTATGCTGGGTCAGTGTCAGGGCCTGGTTTTTGTTAGGATACAGTTCCTCAATGGCCATCTGAATGTTCTTCAACGTTAAGGGTTCTTTGCCCATAGCTATGAAAGCATCCCCTTCCCTGAAGAAATCAGAGACACTCCTGATTTCTCTACCCTTGAGGTTAAACAGCTTCCTCACTCCATCATTCTTCCATCTTGGACAGCCCAGGGCTTCTGAGATGTCTGCTAAGAGCTGCTCAAATGTCTGCACTGAGCGCCTGTTGAGGAGCATGGTGACCTTCCTGAGGGGCTGCCCGCCCAGCCTCACCACCGTCACCACCCTGGGCTTCAGCGGGCTGTTCTCAGAGTGGATGGAGTGAAGGCCATTCTGAGGGCTGAACACGGGCACAGAAGAGCCACCTGAGCCCAAGAGTGGTTTCTCTAGATTCCCCCTGCCAGCAGGCAGCCAGGTGCTCTGTAGTTTTCGCTCTGTGATTTTGGAACTTAAGTATTTCAGGGAATTGTCACATAGGCCTCGATATCCTGAAACAGGAAAAAGACAACATAGTATTAGCCAAGATGAGCTCTAAGAGTCCCTCTTTAGGCAACTTTAAAGATTAGCAGCCTGCTGATACTATAAGTGTGATCTCCATGGCTCTGCTTAGTAGAGCCTTTCTACTTTTGGTCTCTTTCCTGATCTCCCCTATGAGAGACCTGAGGCACAGACAGACAGCTTTGGTATAAAGTGGCTCCTTGGGCCTGGCACACCCCATCCACCCAGAGAAGCTTGCCCTGGAGGCCTTCTCAAGGCAAGATCTGGCTCTTTGAAAACAAAGGGAGCTGAGCTCCCAGCATCTTTGGCAGAGATCAAACACCCCTGACTTGTTTCCCAAGAAACAACACGTAGCTGGAAGATCCTGGAATTTTAAAGGGCTCAGATCTTTGCTAAGAAGTTTTCTTAGCTAAAACTTTGACTCATTCAAGGTAAAATAGCATGGAGAGAGATTATGATCACAAGGGTTGGGACAGAACTATATTTTAATTCTAAGTGGCCACAAAGTTGAACAAATCCATTATGTTTCAGTGTTTCCATTCATAAAGTAGAAAGAATAACATTTTCCTCCTAGAGTTTTTGTGAAGAATACTACACTTGATCTTGGACAAGAGGCTGAGAAGCAATTTTGTGAACAATAAATAAGCAAGTGATTACAATGCACCTAACAGAGTGCCGCACACGTAGCAAGGACACAGATAGCAACTGCCAGTGGTCAGTGCTGCACTTATGACCTTAATACCTTCTTGTTATATAGGTCTTGCTTTATCTTGGTCTTAACCATCCAGCAGAAAAGTATAAGAATGAGGTATAAAAGTAAAGCCATATTAATATGCTCAGCCGTAAAAAGCTCAAGTCAACAACTTCTGACATTGCCAATCCTATGGAAAACCCACTACTATTATGGACTACTGGACTAAATTGGATTATTCTGCTGAATTCACACACCTACAATATTTAAATGGCAATGGAATACCCTTCTCTGGCAAAACTAAACAGATAAAGGGATATAAAGGAAGAGCCATTTTGTATCTGTATATACAAAATAGTTAGGATAGATATACAGCTACTTTCTCTTAATTCAGTGAGAAGATTTGCACTAATAGTGTTTGTACAGTATATCATGTCTGCATCTTGTACTATGAATAACCACTATGAAGACAGCAATACGCAATGTATTAATTATTATAACTTGTTTTGAAACTGTCTCATTGCTATTGTTTCTCAATAAAATTAATTTAAAAAGCCTTAATATCTATTTTTATTATACTTCCATTTAATTGGTGACATAATTTACTCATAAAGAAATCTACTATGGAGCCGGCAAGATAGCTCAATGTACTAAAGTGCCTGCTTAGGCAAACGCAGGCAAGTGCAGGAACCATAGTTCAATCTCCAGCACCACATGCCACACCAGCCCTGCCCCAGGGCAGGCTAAGCCAATCAGAGTCCAGGAGTGGTAGTGTACAAGTATAATCCCAACACTGGGGAGGCTGAAAGCATGAGGATCACTATGAGTTCAATCTTTGTAGTGAGACCCTGCAATAACCAAATGCATTTTAAAAGAGAAAGAAAGAAAGAAAGAAAGAAAGAAAGAAAGAAAGAAAGAAAGAAAGAAAGAAAGAAAGAAAGAAAAGAAATCTACTGTGCACAGCTTCATGGAGCACCCAAAAACCTACTAGACCAGCCTGATATAGTGGATATTATTGTCATGCACTAGAGGTTGGTATAATAAAGCTGAAGGTTGTTTCAATCTGAGTATAGATTGATTTTTTTCTCTCTTTATTAAAATAAAATAAAGGTAATGGAGTACTACTCAGCTGTAAAGAATGATAAACTTGAAG